TGTTATCCAATCCTCCCTGTTAGAATTTATAGTAACAACCAAAATCTCTGAATCCTCAAATCTATCTGATGCTACTGACACATCCCAAATTCAATTGACTTTTCTTTATCTTTCTTTTTCAGATCTAGACAAATTTTCTTATAATGTCCTTATTTATGAAAGTGAAAACACTTGAATTTGGTCTTAGACTTGTATCTTGACTTGTTTATATACTTGTTCTTTTCTTTCTTATCCATCCTGCCTCTAGCATTCAAACCTAGAACTCCTGATTCTTTTTTAAATTTTGGTTTCTATCTATGTAGATTTTAACTCAGTCTAAACTTCTTCCAATGATAAAGTCTCTCGAGCATATTTCATTGTTTCAACAAAATAAGCATACAATTTATGAAGTGAATTTAGAATGATTATTGTCTGATTCTCATCATCCACCTTAACTCCAAGATTTTATAAATCGATGACTATTTTATTGGAATCATCCAAATTATCCTCCCAACTTTTTGACTCAGACATTTTAAATCCAAACAAAACTTTCTTGTAGTAGATTCTATTATGCAAATTCTTAGTCATATACATTTGTTCCAATTTCAACCAAATCCCAGTAGCAGTCGTTTCTTTATCAACCTCATGAAGAATCTTGTTGCTCAAGTGCAACACCAGCGTACTATAGGCTAACTACATGATATTTATCTTCTCATCTGGATCTAAAGAACTTGACAAATTTCTCTCTTCTTCCAATACCTTAACAACTTTTTTTGGATCAAAACAGCTTTCATTCTTTTTCTGCAAATTAAGAAATTTATTTTTCCATTGAACCTCTCGATCTTAACCTTTGAAACCCTATTTTGTTTAAAACCTAAATAGTGTCTATGATACCATTTTGTTAAACTTCAAATGACTTTTAAATGCCCAACTGATTCAGGATCTTTTCCAAATTGAGTTACTAAATCTTTGAATTGAAAATTGCCTACAATTGAAACAAAAACCCCAAGCTAGTGAAATTTAGATTATGTTATAAAATAAAGAATTATCTTAATTTTTTTTACAAAAGTAAAATTACTAAGTAACCAATTTATTATTCAATTAATTGAAAACTTTTCTTCACTAACATATGCACAATATGACTAGAGTTATTTTCCAATAACATAACCTTTCTTTAGATAACACTTGCAAGCCAATAACAATAGTAATTGATTGATAATTCAAGTTACATGAAGCTATACAAGATATATGCAATAATCTAAGATTGGCCAACAACTATACAATTTACTACAAGAGATCAAACTTTTTGACAAAATCAATAACCATGATTGAACATAAAATCTTTAAACAAGAATCTTGCAAACTTGAACATAAAACATGTTAATCAAAGAATTATAAAAAACAATCACCGAAAGAATCAATAACACATGGAGTTACGTGGTTTGACATGGGGTGCCTACATCCGGGGAGAAAGAGGGCTAGCTTCTTTGATTAAGATGCACAAGCAAGTTACAATACATATATCTTGATAATCTTTCAAATTTATTAAAGAATTTACAATTGAGATATATCACCTAAGATTACTTATTTGTTTACCTTCCAACTTCCTCAATTCCTTCTCAAAATCAGCCCCTCAATGATGCCCCAGCCTAGTCCATAGGTTTCGAAGGAACTCTAAATGCAAGAGTTTAAGAGCAAAGCTACTTACCTCTCTCCTGATGCAAGATTTCCTTCTGATTTAGCTTTGAATCGCACAAGAAGCCTGAGAGCTGCTCTCGCTCAGCCTCCTCGTTCACACCATCCTCCTCTTGCTCCAGGTCCCCATCCCTCTCTTGGTTTGCCTCTCCTCTTGTTCGCTTCTTCCTTGGCTTGCCTCCTAGTAACGAGCTTCCAAAGCCGCAAGAGACCCCACCTGCTTATGTAAGGGGAAAATAGATATAAGAAACAAAGCCACATACAAGGCTATACAAGAGAAAGTTACACAAGAGGCATATGTTAACTTAAACAAAAATGCAAGAATTAGAAATTAGTGCAAATTAGGAGCTATTACTTGTGCTCAAACACAAGGTGGCTTGATCAAGTATTTTCCTATTTCTGTGGATTACAGCAAGGATCAGCCTTACTCATGTCTTAAATAATAATAATAATAATAATAATAAAACCCTTACTCATGTATTTTTGCTTTAGTCATGGATGTTCTCACTTGACATTTGCAAGAGGTTGTACCATGGTGTATGCTTTTTTGAATCTTGTCTTCTGAATTTTGATTGTAATTAGTTGGTCGAGCAAATTAGAGTCTGCATCATGCTTGTCACGCTATCCTAATATGGATTTAGATGCCTAAAGTTGTGTTTATCATATTCTTGTAGCCATTTGGCTTAATGTTATACTATGGACTGGCTTATTTTTAAGATTCTTTGTTCACGTTATCAATGGTTCCTTCAATTCCTTCTTGTACAGTTTCTATTCTTTAGGTATTTCATGTGGATTATAGTTAGTTATCCAAGGAATGTAATCTATATTGCAATCTAAACGTGCATGCTTCTAGACCCTGAAATTTACAACATCAACCACTCTATGTATATTATGTGAACCAAGCTTGTGATTTGAATTTTGATAAAATGTCCAAATTCAAAAGCTAAAATAAAAGACTAAACAGCATTTTGCCTAGATAAGAAAATGTGATTGGAAACAGGACTTCTTCATCATGATTTTTGTTTTTCCAAACTGAGTGTATTGTCTTTTGGTTGTTCCATCTTTTTTGTAGCAGCACTACATAAGCACAATTCACATTTTGAACTTAAACAACTACTTTAATTACCGTTTTGGTTATCACTTATTATCTGGAATTGGTACATCAAAGATATTTTGCCAAGTTAATCACGCTCTATAACCCCAAGCCCTCGTATCATCAATCCGATTAATTAAAGGTTATTAAGGCTTCATTTGAGGCGGCTTTCTTTCTGCTTCTTAAAGCGGCTTTTTAGTTTAAAAAAAATTGTACTAAAAAACCGCTTTAAGAAGCAGTAAGAAAGCTGCCCCAAACGAAGCCTAAGAATACTAAATTCATAAAATGTACAACATTATTCACTATAATATGTTAAGTATTGTAATTTAAAGAACTTAACCACCTTCACTATTTCTTCCTTCTTACGTTTTATATGTAATAGCTATCTAATTTTTGTTCTTTTTTGAAAAATACAGCCAGACTCAGAAACTCAGTTGCTAACCATTCAATTCGAGTGGAATGGTGTCCTGAAGTCTGTATCCAGCACTCTAGTTGGTGTGAGCCCGGAGTTCGAAGTTGCCCTCTACACTCTTTGCTTCTTTGTGGGTAAAGAAGATAACCATGTTCGTTTGGGTCCCTACTCTGTCAACATTAAATGCTATCATTTAGGACGTGACAAGATTGGCTCAGCCTTTCCCATAGCTGAATGTTGATTATGAGCACTGTGAAGTTTGGATCATTTCTGGACCTAAATTTCTTCAACTGGACATCAAACTTGTATTGATGAAGCCAATTGCCTTGTTGACGCTTTCTGTATGGTATCGGTATGTATCTGCTCTGATAATTATCAGTTTGCCCATACTGACAAAATAATAATATGTTTCTCTTAGTGAGGAAAGTTTACCTTAATGAAAGCTTAAGTAATTAAAAAAATTTATCTAGCTGGTTACACCATTTTGAAGATTGACTTTACTTCTGTTATAATAATTAATGTAAGATTGTCTCTGATGCAACTGCTTATGTGAAATCGATATGTTAGACTAAGGTTTCGTTTGGGACGACTTTCTTACTACTTCTGTTTTATTTTTTCACTAAAAAGTAAAAAAAAGCGGCTCAAACGAAACCTAAATTACCCTGCAATATCTGTTTTTTCTTTCTCTGCCATGGCTAGTAATTGCTTGTTCGTACTTCCTGCATTGGATTTCCTACTCAGGACGGTAAGAATTATGAAACGATTGTGTTAATTAATTGCATTCTATTGAGAAATAAAATTATAAGGAAAGAAAAAAAATGATTGCATCCTTTTCATTCAGCTAGATTTTATTACACGTATAGCATATCTTTCACTTATTTTTGATACATGAGGAAACTCAGCTGCTAGTAATGCGCAAGAGATGTTATCAGTTAAGCAAAAGTTTGTAATTACATGAATGTATAGTTCAAGTTGTTGGGGAATTTAAGCATACAGTGAACACAAATGAAAAAAAGAATGCAGGGGAAATAAAGTACACCAAAATTTAAAATGAAATTTTTTGAAACAGGGAAAAAATTATAGAGCCACTACATAAAAAATTTAAAATGAAAAATTTTGACCGGGCATAATAGCCTCTATATTAATAAGAACACACCTAAGCACAAAAGCTACTTGCCAATATCAGATCAACTCAACCCATCGACAACCTAAATGAAAATAATTTTTTTTTTTGTTTTTATTGGTGTATTAGTAAAATTGAGTGTTTTGATAAAATGAAGTGTGAAAAATTTGTTGAACTGATGATATTCTAATAGAGGTGTGGAAATGCTTAGGGGATGAAATAATTTCTTTTGTTATTAAACATTTTAATACTATTTTGAAAACTAAAAAGATGTCAGATAAGCGGAGAATGAGTGTTTTGATTCATATTTTTAAGAATAAATGTAACACACAAGATTGTATGAATTATAGAGGAATTAAGTTAATGTGTCATACTTTAAAACTATAGATGAGACTTATGGAGCATAGGTTGCAGCGTGATACTAATGTTTCTCAAAATCAATCTAGATTTATGTCGAGCAAGTTTATGTGGAAGCTACACATTTATTGAGAGGTTTGATGGAGAACTATAAAGGATAAGGATGATCTACATATGATATTTTTTATTTAGAGAAAGCATATGCTAAAGTTTCAAGAGAAGTGCTATGGAAAGTTTTAGAATAGAAAAGGATTGGTAATGCTTATATTTAAGTTATTAATGATATATATGCAGGAGCTGTTACTTGTGTTCAGACACATGGTGGTTTGACCAAGTATTTTCCTATTTCAATTGGATTACATCAAGGATCTGCCTTAAGCCCATATCCTTTTGCTTTAGTCATGGATATTTTTACTAGACATTTGCAAGAGGTTGTACCCTAGTGTATGTTTTTTGCTGATGATATTCTTCTTGCTAATATGACTAGAGATGGAGTTGAAGGTAAACTTGAATTATGGAGGTCAACGTAGGGTTTAAAGGCTTTCGTTTGAGTAGATATAAAATTGAATATATGAAATGTAATTTTAATAATAATAGTTCTTGTGGGGGAATTGTGACTTTGGGTGATCAAGTCATTAATAAAAGTATACGTTTTAGATATATTGGGTCTTTTGTTCAAAACAATGATGAAATAGATGGGAATATTAATAATTGAATTCAAGTTCGGATGGTTGAAGTGGAGGAATGCATCGGGCAGCTTGTTGACCATTAAAAGAGAAGCATAATATTAAGTTAAGTATTGTAGAGATGAGGATGCTCAGGTGAATGACTTACTTTACTCTTAGAGACAAGATACGAAATGAGCATATATGTGAAAAGATTGGAGTAGCTCCATTGGAAGATAAGATTGGTGAGAGTCATCTTAGATGGTTTGGTCACATAAAAGAGCGGCCTTCCGATGAGCTGGTTAGGAGTAGTTGTATTATATTTGACTTGTGCTAAGAAAGGTAGAGCTAGTCCTAAAAAGACTTGATTATAAAGTATTAGAAATGAACTTTTTTTATTAGATTTAAATTAGAATTTAGCTTTTAACATGACACAATGAAAAAAAAAAGATTCATGTGGCTGATCGCACATAGTGAGATAAAAGCTTGATGTTATTATTGCAGTATAAAAATTTTTAGTTCAAGAGTAATTGTCTTTAGCAGCTTATTTAAACAAATGAGGCCAATTCGAGCTAAGTATAAATTAAAAGAATTTGACTCAATTAAGCAAAAGTTTGATTCAACTGGGCTAGTTTACACCACTACTTTAGCCTCGTTGAGCCGGTCAAACAAAGCATCATTTTAAGAAAAGGCCCATCTAACAGCCCAAAAGCCCGTTTTACCTCAACCAGTTACGCGAAAGACGAACAAGTTCCTAATTCTTTCATTTTCGTATAATCGTCAAATGCCGCTAAGGTTTTATTTCGGATAGCATTTTTATTACTTTTTAAAATAATTTTTTAATAAAAAAAAATTTTGAACTAGAACTTTTTGTATTAAAATTTATTTTTAAAAAAAAACTGTTCGCAGCCCTTGTTTTTAAGAGTAAGAAATTAGTTTTGATTGCTAAATAAAAAACAAGTGAATCATAATTAGCATGTGATAAATTGTGAGTCCAAATTTTAAAAATATCTTATTTGATCTTTTAATTATTCATCAAACTACTCTTTTATTGTAATATTTGAGCATTACAAGATTTTTGATGTAGCTCTTCTGTGCTTATATTTTCGCTGTCCTCTCATGCAACCAAAGGGTTACAAATTATTTCTTACAGAAATGCAAATGACTAAAACCTCAATTTATCATAAAAATATATACTTGATACGTCATCACAAAATTAGCTTGATCGGGCACGAATCTCGAAGCAAAAGTTAGTTGGAAACTTCAAAAATTAAATCCGGGAGTATATGAACTCCGATTTCAGCGAGCTTACAGTCAAACTGAGCGTCTCGGAAATACGAACCCAACGACACCAAGATCGACCCAATACGAGCCCAAATGAGTCTGAATCAAGGTTGATAAATTTCTTTATAAAAGATCTCATATTTCTTAAATTATCTTTTATGTTTGTTTTTTTCCTCTCTTACTTCTCTTAATTCTTGTTCTCAAGGGTAGCATCACCACCATCATATCTAATTAATACTCTAAAAGATGGTTTAAAACTCGATAATCCCATCACACGTTAATTGTTATATCATGATGAAAACAAATAAGAAAGTAAAATCAGCGGAAAGTAAAGGGCATTATTAAGATTTAACGTTGAAAAACTCAAAATTGAGAAAAAAAAAACTACGGAGCCACACCACACCAATGAATCCACTATAAAATGAGGAGAAATATGCACAAATCTCTCATCTCTCTCACTCTTCATGCTTCTCTTCTCTCTCTCTCACCGTTCTTGCACTCAAAATATAACATAAAGTCAAGTAAATGTCACAAAGGGATACAACACATTAGAAAAACAAGAAAGAAAATTGTCTAGTTCGCTCGCAGTGCTGCAGCGCTCAAACCTCTGTCATAACTATGTTGTGGCGCTCCAACCCACAGCATTGCAGCGTCACGAAGCACTGAGCCACTCTGCTCTATATCGAATAACGTTGGGGTGCTCGGGTACACCTGAAACAAGAAAGATAACTTTTTTCCTACTCAACTTTATCTATTTATTTTATTTTTTTCTTTTTGAAAGTGTTCCTATTTAAAAAAAAAAAATTTCATTATTTTATTTTCTTCTCGTTAAATCAAGTAAATCGTCATAGTTGGGTTTTTTTATATAAGATACATTTTCTCCTTCTCAACTCTATCTATTTTTATTTTCTTTTTGAAAATGAAGGCATTGGCCCAATTGAATTAAAAGTACAACAAGTTAAATTATGACAAAAAGGATGAAGATGGTTATACAAAATTATCATTCTTCATCCAAATAAAAAGTATGTCATTTTATGTGCTAAAAATTCAAAAACAAAAACGTCCCATTAAATGGCCAGTGATAGGCGCAAACATCAAGAAAAGAACATAATAATAATTGAAGTGTTGTCCAAATACAACACATATTTATATGATTAAGCAAAGTAATGTAGAAAAATATGCAATTGTTACTGGGTTGCACAAGAGTTATGTAAATAAGTAACAATATGATGCATCACATAGCTGACGATGTTAAAAAGATGAAAAGCAGAATACCCAAAAGATAATAGTTTAGATTACTTCTAGAGAAAATAAAACACATAATTGAACATACTACACAGTACTCAATCAAAGAAAAAGACTGATAGCCCATCCAATCCAGCAAAAAGGAGAGATTATGCAAATTAAGTCCCACAAGTAAGAACAAAACCCAAACACCAATCCTACATCAAGAAAAGGATTCAACCATAACATTTAGGTGATTCAAAGAAATAGAGTGATGTGGGTAGCGAATAAATATTCTAACATTATCAAATTTAGTCGATGGAAGAGTTGACAATATAGGGTGCCAAAATACATTCCATTGAAAAAATGTTCTCTAGCTTATAACAATATCGCAAATAACAATGTCATTTCAACAAGCAGAGGAATGCAACATATAAATATTTGTCATAGAAGAATATCTCAATATGAATTAGGTAGTGTCATCCGTTTCTCAACATTAATGGGTTCATCTTTCTGAGACATTCAGTTTGAATATAAGTTTGCCGAAATCGGAGTTTGGATGGTCCCCGATTTAATTTCAGAAGCTTTCAACTTAATTTTGCTTCAAGATTCGTGCCCGATTAAAATAATTTTTTTAATATATATAAAAACTACATTAGAAAATAAGCTTATTAAGCATATTTTATAATAGTAATAAAAAAATTATACAAATTAGTAATAAAAAACAAAACATGTTTATTTTGAACAACTTCATTTACATAGAGACATTGCAAAGTCTCATATTTAAAAGGTGTACTCGATGTCTAACTTATTTCTTAGCTGAAAGAGCCACACTTGGTTGGTTGTTAAGGGTGGTTTAAAAACAATTGATGAGCTGTTGAGAAGGAACATTCATATGCAAGATAATACTTGTATTTTATGTCAGGCTAGCATTGAATCTTTGGCACATCTACTATTCGAATGTGATTACTCATTTTCTGTGCTTACAAAACTTATTCCCACTTTCTAAAGCTTTTACCTAAGGCCCAACATTGCTCAAACCCTTAATCATGTGAGTGGTATCTCCCTGCCCCCTAAAATTAGAAATGTAATCCTCCTGATCCTGGATGGTATTATTTACTATATGTTGATCGAACAGAACAACAGGAGATTCAATTTTACAGCTATTTGTGTTAGTACTCTCCCTAGAAAGATTGCTAGAGCAATAAATACCAAAATCTATGGCTGGAAGGAAGGAGATGTGGTAAAGGAAAAGTTGAATTCAATATATGCAGCTCTCATATGTCTTAACTGATTGGTTGTAGCTGGTTCTTGTCCGAATTGGACTGTTTGGTTCCAGGTTTTGCTTTGGTTTATTTTGTGGAAATAGGCGGTGTATGCCTCCCTTTCAATCATGGCTATTTTGTTTGATCTGGCTATGCCGTTTTGCCGAGAATTTTCAAGACCCGACCAGAGCCTGTTCAGATGCTATATTTTGTGGCAGGCACAATTTTTGGGCCTGGACGATGATAAGGCCTGCTTATCCCTCTCTTTGGAAAGTCTCCGGGCAACTAAGGGAGTATTTTTATGACTTAATCTGATTATGCTTGTTTTATGAGTTCAGGCCAGCAGTAGGGGTGTCAATTCGGATCAGCGGGTCGGGTTCGGGTCGAACCCGGAATTGACCCGGCACTATTCAGGTCAACCCGAACCCGACCCGTTTTTAAAAATGGGTCAGGTTTACAGACCCGAACCCGACCCAACACGAATGACCCGAAGTTGACCTAAAATTGCTAATTTTCGGGTCAAAATAGGGTCAATATTCAATTTTCGGGTCAAAATCGGGTAAAAAACGGATCAATCTCGGATTTTCGGGTCAAATATGAGTTTTCGTGTTACTTTCGGATCAATTTCGGGTTGCTAGGTCAACCCGAACCCGACCCGTTTCGGGTTCGGGTTGACCCGAACCCGAATTTTTTCGAGTCGGATTCGAATCGTGTTTCGGGTTGTGTCAAAAATTGACATCCCTAACTGGCAGGTTTTCCTTTCTTTTTTTATTGTTCTGACTTTTCATTCCGTTTCCTTTGCCTGCTTTTTGGTTATTTTTTCAAACTTGTATACTTTTTGATTTTTAATAGATTGAGCTAAACCCTCAATTTCCCAAAAAAAAAAAAGTGGACCCTCAATTACCTTGTCACATCCTCGACCTTTTTTTAACCCTATAATAAATATTTCAAGCATTTAATAAAGAGAATTAAATAGCCATTAGTTAAAAATGCATAAGATACTTTAGAAAGATGGTATGAATTTAACAGCTACGTTGTAAATTCCCCAAAAAATAAAACATCTAAGTTGTAGTTTTCTGTTAAATTTTTCTGATGATGATTCATGTATAATTTTTTTTTAATATAAACTATTTGTTCAGACCTTGGCTCTTAGTCAGCTTAATTTATTTGTTATGCCTATGCGTTATTGAAGTGTACCCTCTTACGTGTAATAATATTAAAATCACCCACTAATATTTAGCTTGATTGGTGGCCCAATTTGATTGGGAACCCCAAATTCATGCTCAATCCTCTCGAGCAGCATCATCTCTTAATTGGGGGCCCAATCCTCTCAAGCGGCATCATCTCTTAATTGGGGGCCCAATCAAGTGCGGGCTAGAGATTTCTTGAGTGAGTGTCTCTTCTAGATCACCGAGGACAGGGGTGACAGGTGGATATCCGTTACCCCAAAAAAAAATATTAAAGTTGCACAGTTTTGCACGACTTTTGATGCCTTCTTTTACTTCTCATGGCCGTCCGCTGAAACATACAAACGCCTGGACGCCTGGACGCCTAGTCGTTGTCTGGCGACTGACATTATAAGTTCTACTTGGTCGTCGCCTCTCTCTCTCTCTCCCTCTCTCTCTCTCTCTTCAACCTTCGTGTTTTAGTTGAACCATTCAATTTGATCAATTTCTTATTTCTTCGGTTTTCCAAAGTTCGAACCAGCCATTTGAGTGGTCACAGAGAGAGAGAGAGAGAGATGGAAGGGCTTATCAATGGCTTGGCAGAAGTGGCTATAGGGTTTGTAGCAGGGGATCGCGATGACCAACCCGAGCGCCATGCTTCTTCTTGGGATTCAATAAGAAGCCAGAATGCCCATACACACCTTTATTGGGCGTGGTGGGATGGGACCCCGGTGCGGCGCCTATGACGAGGGGGTAATCACCTAAAAGCCCCATTTCGATATTCGCGGCGCACTAGAAAACCGCCTATACATAATCCTAAATACACTCGAGTGAGGTGGAAGCCAATTGTATTTTAAAACAAGTGTATGACAAAAAAATGTGACGCAATGCAGATTTTGATTTATCATATTTTGTAATAGAATACTACATTGAGAATAAAATACAATCTTGGGAGACACTGACACTATTCTACAATGGATTCAATATCAAAATAGGGTTTTAAAAAATGATATCTCTATGATCAAATACAATTCAAAGAATAACATATCATCTTGAAAGATGAACATAAAATTTTATAGAATGCGTTTAAAAATAAAAATATTTTTTTTTTGAAAAGTTTATCCATTTTTTTATTTAGGTGTAACAAAAAGAATATAATATCATCTTAAAAGACGAATATAATATTATTCAAGGCATCCAAAAGCAAGAATGAGTTCTATAAAATTAATTATTTCTAAAGTTGAATATAACAAATAAAATATTATATTACCTTAAAAGATAATAATAATATTCGATTAGTATATTTAAAATTAGAAATGAGCCTTTTAAAAGGCATACATTCCCAAAATTTTTTTCCTTGTTTTATGAGAATAAAACAAGATTTATTTTAGTATGGAGTTATCAAATTCCTAGTTAATTACATCTTAGGAGTGATACTCCTAAGAAAACTCTCGATTAAAACAGTAATTTCTCATCCCTTGACTACAAAGTAAAACACAAGGAAAGAAATAAAAAGTTTTCAAGGAAAAAACTTAACGTTGAACAATTCTTAATGATTCAAAGGAGGAAAGTAGGAGGTGCCGGATTCTGAGAAGCTCAAATGCAATCTCAGTCTACCCATATGTTAGATTTGACATTTTAGAAGAGAAATTTTATGTTTAAATTTGTATTTTATTAGAAAGTTGGGATTATATTCTAGGAGGGTGAGGACTTAAGATTTAAAAATTTGCTTAAGAACCTAAATCTAAATTGGGTATTACAAAGTAGTGATTCGAACCTATCTAATGAAGTATAAATCTAGACTTACCCCAACCTAGATTGGGGAGCTATCTAACCACCTAGGCACTTTAAAATCATGTATCTACTCTCTTTATAAAAGATGGGTAGGAACGTTATTTAAGTTTTAAGGAACTGGGAGCCGACATCTAAGGCATACCCTAATTGGCCCCTCAACTTATGTAGGGTGAATGATGACTGAAAATAAAATACAATTAATATTTTAGGCTCTTTAATTTGTAGTTAATGCAAGACATGCTAATTGACTCGAATGCATAAAATGATTATGAAGTAATTTTAAAATTAAGCTTGAAAAATAGATTTTTCTCTAAAGATTGTACAACATCCCCTTGATAAAACTATCCATAATAGGTCAGGTGGTACGCCAGAACGCGCAAGCGAGGAGGTGCTTAACAAGAAAGAGAAGATAATAATATGCATATAATGATTCTCGGCGGTTCCGAGCTTACTTCTTAGATCGTTAGAGTTTCTATATAAGCCTAAAAACTTTATTAGAGTTTCAGGTATAAAAATTTTGTCGTACCCTCACAAAAACTCCGATTATATCAAAACTAAAACAAAATACGACATGCAAGAAAACTTAGAAAAATAGGCAATTCTAATGCGCAAATAATATAAAAATCAAATTAAATTATTCAAAATATAATGTCCATATGGCAAGTGTCATGTGTCATTTTATTTACACAGAATTTGCTAAAAAAATAAAGTGGTCGGGCACCACTAACAACAAACCCGAATTCTAATCATAAAACTGACGTAAGTGATTTTGAAATGGGATATACTTTTTCCTTATCTTCATTTCTTCCTCTTCTTCATTTCATCTCCTCATTTCGTCTTTCTTCTTCTACAAACTACTTAGATCCACCGGACCTGAATATTCAAATGAAAAGAAACTCAATCCCCAAAGGAGTATTTTTATTCACATTGGATAGTATAATCATCATAACATAGCTTTTCAAATAAAAGGGAATACTTTGCTAAGGGTTGTTCTCTTCTCTTTGGATTTCAGGTTGAATGTGATATCCCACTTCTAAATCACTTTCACAACGCTTGACTTCAACAAATTACATTTACATTTCATGTATATCCGAGAAAGAAAAAAAAAATCTAGATCACCTGTAAGTTTATCCTAAGCATTTATAATAAAATCATTCCTAAGCAATTATATATTCGTATTTAAATTAAATTCAATACTCATACTTGGTCACACACTTTTTTTTATTTTGGGGCTAAACAACTTAAGCACCTGTAACATTTATATAATTATTAATTAATTAGCCCCATTTTATTGCCCTACATAAGTGTGGCAACATGCCGAAAACTCTGTGAAAAACCAGATCGCTCCTAACCTATGAGCAATCTAATTATCAATCAAATCATATCACAGAGAGCAGTAAAATTAAATAAACACTCACATCAATCACAAACAGCATGCAGTAAAAACTGAGAAAGCCCGTCAAACAGTAGCAAGTAAATAAACACCGCTTTAACCTAAAACTAGAGTTGGTGGTCATACCAGACAAATCTAAGTGTCTGTGATAGGCTGTATAGATTGAAATATTCTAGATTAATTATTAGTTGAAGTTTTCTAATTGATTGAATTTAGTTTAATAAAAAGTCAATGAATTTTATGTTCATGTTTAAGTTTTAGTACATTTAATATTTTTTGAATTCATTTTAGGTTGAAATTTAATTGTTAAAGTTGATTAATATGATTAATTTGTTAATATATTTTAATTAATAATTTTTTATTTTAGATTATTTATTTTAATAATTTATTGAGTTTTTAATGATTTGATAGATTTTAGATTATTTTTTAATTTTAAAATGATTTATTATATTTTTAATGATTTATTGAAGTGTTAATGTTTTATTAAATTTTTAAGGGTTTTTTTAATATTTCAATGATTTGTTAATTTTAAATAATTTATTGAATCCTTAATGATTTATTAAATTGTTAATGATTTATTAAATTTTTGAAGATTTTATTTAATTTTTAATGATTTATTAGATTTTTTTAGATTTATTATCATTTTTTTATTATTCATATTATTTAATTGATTAGAATTTATTAACCTTCCATTATTTAAGATTATTTTGACTATAAGTTTACGATTTTAATATTTTATCGAATTATATTAATTCCATAAGTGATTTCAATATTCAATTACATTTATATTTTATTTTTCAATTTAAGGGTTAATTTACTTTTATTAAACAAATATATATTATTTACTGTTTTATATGTTTGGTTTATATTGGTTGAAATTATTATTTATAGTTATAATTTCTAATTCTTAAAAGAGAATTGTAATATTTGTTTGATTATTATTTAGAATTGATTGTAGTTAGGTTAAAAGTATTCACTAATCCTAAAACAATGTGTCACTACGTTTTTTATGTTTTCTGCATTTCTATCATAAAGCATGCATGCATCCTACGTCTAAATTTCTTAAGACTCATTCTTTAATTTTTGTCTTTAAATGTTACTAATGTTGGATGGTATGAAAAAATTTGTTATCACTAACCCTTAGGATATTGCGCACGTGTAAAGGAGTTTAAAGGATCTAAAATAAAATAAAAATAATCCTAATAAAATTGAAGTTACTTTAGGGACCTAAAGGGGAAGGGTTCGCACAAACAACACCATATGCCTCCTAGGGGCTTTTTAAGTTTAAAAAAACTTACAATCTCCAGGGGCTACGACCCGGTAGTTTCGCCCGTAGCACCTCCACCCGGTTGAATGGAAGCGATTGACGCCTTTAGCCCTTTATCCTTTTGTTCACTCGACGGTACCATTCATTGTAGTTCATGCAAATAAAGAAGAGAAAACATGTATTAGAAGTACATTTAATAATTAATAATGAAATAATTGAAATTTATTAAAAATAAAAAACGTACCTTTCTTCGGACTTGAACACTATTTCGGTGATTGCCTTTTGGAACTTTTCACTTTTGATAGCACATTTTGTATCTTTCCAACATTCACCTCGAGGCACAAAAAAGGGGGAGTAAAAGAGGGAAAGAGAGAGGTAGAGAGAAAAAGTGCTTAGTTCTTCTTTAAAACTTCACTTTCCAATGGTCACTCAAAGCACTCACTCTCCAACACCCACAACTTACCTCTTAAAACACCTCAACCTTCAACAATCAACATCTTTAAAACACCACTCAACATACACACTTCATTTCTCCCAATCCAACATTTCTCATCTTTCCCATTTTTACCTCCCAAAACACACACAATTTCACAACACAAACACTTTACCTTTCAAAATTACACAATTCTCTTTTCAATGCATTATTTTACCTTTACACACAAACACTTTTCAGACACTTCATTTTTAACACATACGCTTTACTTCTCACATTTACACATGTCACTTTTCAAAGAAACACATAATTCTTTTTTTTTTATATTTGCATATTCCACTCTCACAATTCATATACTTTTCAACCACACACTTTTACTTTTAAACAATTGTGCATTTCACATACATCTCACTATTCAACATACACTCTTTTCCAAACATTTCATATCTCAATTTTCATATTTTAGTTTTAATTATTAACATACATACACACATAGTTCACTTTTTCACATTTATACACACTTAACTTTTCCAAACAAACTTATATTTCAAAACACTTCTCCTCACCAATCCAAACACTTAACCTTTCATTTTTCTCACATGAAACCCTTCCAACATATGAACACACAATTCACCTTTTGCAAACACACTTTTTACTTCTCCCAAAAATCCTAACTTTTCTTTCTTCTAATGACAACTTGCTTCTTGTCGTAAAAGCAAAGAAAAATTCCACCATTCTCCTTTCCCAAAACTCATTGAAAGAATAATCCTAAACATACACTTGTATATATATTTCTCCAATTAGCCATAAGCCATACAATGATAAAGTGTTACTTTAAAATCATTCTTCATATCAAGCTCAACTTACAACCACAAGATATCACTCATGAAACAAAACAAAGGCTCACACAAGCCTCATACAATCCATCTTCTTATTGAACTTGTATTCATGGCACATAAAGTGAATAGCATTAAGCATATGTATATTTCTCTACTGAACACTAAGCTCATGAGGCTTCCAAACATCACATCTTATTGTTTTAAATACTTAAAGCTTTAAAAAAACTGATCAGTACAACAATGCTAATGAGACCAAACTGAATAAGTATATGATTCCACTTACTATGAAAACTGAAAACTATGATGGCCAATAACATTTGGTGATAAAAAAAACTTTAAGTTAAAGATTACGATAACTTTGATATCAATATGAAATGAGGATTTAACAAAGTATCAAAAGCATGTTATGTCAAACCAAATACACTTTGCATCATTTTGAATTCCAGTGAACTGTTTCTTTTTTTTTTTTTTTTTGTTAGTAGAATAAGATGGAGAAAGGCACAAGAAACTGAATGCCAATCCAAATCTAAATAACGCCTCCACGATATAACCATTCATTCTAAAATAAGATCAAGAATGCCAAGAGGAAGAAGTTAGGGCATTTTAACCCTCAAGAAGAACTCATTTCAGATTTCAAAAGATCACGAAATCTCAAATCATTGATCAACTTCGATCATCCAGATTCAAACAAAAGAAATGTAAGTAATAAGAGGAAGAGGAAGGAGAAGATGCAATGAAAAATATACCTAGATTAAAAGGGTTGGCGGCTGGGATGAGCGACGGGCTGAGGGCTCTTAGCTAGGGCTTGAGAATGGCAGGCGACGGGAGAGAAGAGGATCTTGATCTCCGAATCAGAGGGGAGGTTGGCTGCTTCGATCTTTCCAGGTGTTCCAATAGAGAGGGAGAACATTTTTGATTCTTGGGGTCTTTGCGAATTGGGAGCAGGCAGAAGAGAGGGTAACGGGACTTATGGGCTTCGATTTCGTGAGAGATGGGGCTAGGAGGAGGTTTAGTTCTTGCCAAGAAAGAGAAGAGACGGGTGATGCCTGTTGATTTTTGAAATAGAGAGGAGATCAGACCTTGACGGGGGTGATTTCCGAAATAATGGGGAGAGGGAGATCGAGAGTTGCGAACTGCAGGGGTTTCGCCTGGAGGTTTCAAACAGAGAAGAGCTGATGGGTTCGATTCTTGCAAGTAGAGAGAGTGGGCGGTTGCTTCTTGTCGAATGTATAGAGAGATGTGGTTCGGTCTTAGGCTGTCTAAACTGAATCTAATAACCGTCCAATAAGATTTTGAAATGATCATTTTACCTTTTTTTTAATTCAAACTAATAACTCAAATAAAACTAATTTGGAATGAACTTAATAATTTAGACATTTATTTTGTGTTGAAATCCTTTTTTTTAATTTAAAATAGTTTTAAATGATTAGTTTTATCCCTTTTATATTGATTTTGATTAAACCGAGTTTAGGTGAAAAGATTTAGTCCATTGAGTAGGTAATGCTTTAATTTATACGTTGTCGATCAGGTTGATATGAGCTCAGATGGTGTCTAATTTATCTTAATTAATATATATATATATATATTTGGTTCAAATTATTCGCTATGATTTAGGTTGAAATAAAAGGCTGAGTCAACACTATGTTAGTGGGTATCCACCTAAGGGAAATCTTAATGACGATGTCTACACTAGGCTACGAAGACCTAGGTGCTAGAGATTAATTCCGGGGAAATTGACCTCGAATAATGAGGTCAACAACATGTACATTCAAAGACCTCATACACACATTTATTGCGCGTGGTGGGAATGAAGACACAGCCGTAGTGTCTACGGGCATCTACTATACACACATTTATTGCACGTGGTGGGAAGGCCCAGACTCCTGTAGTTTTTCCCCTAAACGGGAGAGACGTAGGATGGTTGTCTGAGAGACGTAGGATGGTTGTCGAAATTCAGATGAACTTGTGAACCTTTGAACTTGATTGAATATGAACAGGGGACCTGAACAAAACTTGAACAACAAAGAGCTTGAATTGAACAAGACTGCTTAGATTTGGGCTTGAATGAGACACATCGAACCATACTGGGGCTAGCTTAAACTTAAATGAATGAAAAGCAAGTGCAACAAACTGGAACTTGAACATGCACATCGAATTAGACTTGAACTCAATACGAACTACAAGGAACCGGACTTTAGAACTCTAAAATGCATAAAGAGTTTGAAAATATCAATGCTAATTAATGATTCAAAACCCTCAAATGAACATCAATGAATGAATGAAAGATTTATGACACAATTTACTTGTAAGCAAAGATTAATAAGAATTATGAAAGATACCAGGATATGCATGCAAGTAGTAGTGTGAAACTTCCTTAAGTTTAACTGGTAGTGTAAATCATCTTTGAGACCAAAGAACTTGCAAGCGTGGTTTGGTAGCAAGTAATAGAAGAACTTGAACTGAACAAGACTACAAAGGACTTGGACTCAAATCTAGATGGGAACTACAATGAACATGGACCTAACTTGAAGGTAGAGCATAACTAAGACAAATGATCAATAAGGAACTTCATTTGACATTTGAATATGAGAGATATGGAGCAATGATTTTGTGTGGTACCATTTACTCACGACTAATGATAGCATAATACATAGATGTATATCTCCAATGAGATGCATAATCTATTTGTAGATGATAATGAGCAAGATGATGATAGTTTTCAATCAAGTACAAAAATGATTGCAATTTGCATATAGTCGACGCTGCACAACTGTAAATAAGTGCACTATAGCATAGTGCCACATGCATGTTATATGAATACACTACATGCTAAGTGAGTGTATTAAACTAGTGCATTGTATATCAAGCATATCATTGCAAGGTACAAATACATCAATCCAATTTAAACAGATGAGTTTGACAAGCAACAATCAACACGAATAAATGTAAATGAGAAAGTTGAGCATATCTCACCTACAAATGATGAAAGTAAGGTGACACAAATCCAACTTGATTACCAATGTTGGTTCAAAGTCTCTTCAATGAAGATTGTTGTGATGTTGATTGTCAGTAATACTATAAGACCCTTAAACCATCTATGAGTTAGATTCAAACTATCCATGCTTATAAGATGAATGAAGTCAATTGAAGCGGAAGGTATGCTCATGAAAGACATGTAACAATGAAGGATACAGTTGTGAGGAATACAACCATGATGATTTGATGATAATCCAACTCCAATCAAATGTGTCGAATCTCCACAAAGCGCAAAGAGGAAATTAGTATCATTTGGCTCTTGAATATGAGAGATATGGAGCAACGCATTGAACTTCTACAGCTTGCACTAACTAAAATGCTCTAGTTATTTGCAAGATAAAGAAGTTCACAGATGATGAATGCAATGACAAATTAGCTCTTTCGGTCAAAATCAACTTTCTTGCAATTATACACAACAGTCCTTACGAATGCTAGAAGATATGCAAGTAGCGGTAACAATCCATTAATCAAGCACATCAATTTCCTATAAACAGAAGTGTTTTATGGTATTGTAGGAGGCTTGTCCCCAAATTTAACATGTTGATTGTAACAAGGAGGATTCAATATACAGTGAAAATGATGATGTGACCATTTAGAGGCATTCGAGTGGATGCTAACACACTGCAGTGCGCTCATCGAAGTTAATGACCTAGGTGTGACAAATGTGTTGTTAAAGATAAATGCAAAGTTTGTTAGCCCAGACTCACAATTACAAATAGAAAATACATACTCCATTCCAATCATCTCAAGGGTTGCAAAAATCATTTTAGGAATCAATATCTCATATACTTCCCCTATACGACGCGAAGTGCCTTTGACCGCTACAAGGTACACTCAAGATAGTGACCATCAACTTCGATGTACAAGATAGTAGCAAGAACACATTTATCCAAGGTTGAAATGATTGATTCTTTATTTAAGCCAACAACATAAAATGATGATGATGGCATAACCTAAGGGTTGCCTATCGAGCCCTATACAAGTCTTGGGAAGAGAAAGCCATATCAAATCTTCATTTTCAGAGATGGAGTGAGTCTCAATCCTACCAAGCTTTAAACATTAAGTTGGATAAGATTATTGAGGCTTACAAGCTTCTTGATGAAAGATGAGCGTGCATCTAACATACCATCCACGGGCAAATGTAGAAGGATTACGATAAATATAGGCTCCTATAAGCTATTGTAGAAGACTCATAGTACGTCTGCCAAATTTCCAAATACCCCCACACTTATACCGTAATTTGTATACACATAGGTACATAAAAGGGGTAAGTACAATCACATGACCCACATGGGCCCCGTCAAGCGTGATATATTCACATATATGACATTTAAGGATGCTGCATGGGTCAATAAATTTGAACACGATCCTCCTAAATAGGTAAATAGAAGTCAATAAGGTTCAACAAATAATTATAAAATACCCCCAAACACCTGCATGGGCCCCGACGAGCGTGTTATTGGTATACACGTTCGTCTATGGATGCTGTTTGGGTCAATAAATGAACATAATTTGAGCCCGATCCTTCTATATATATAGATAAGAGTCGACACGACTCAAATTATTAAGTAGATATACGGTCAACGTGTCGGCCGGATTATCTATTTTATGTGTTCGTATAAAGCCTTCAAGGCCTATGAATAACAAAATTCATTAAATAAAATTGTACAACTAACAAACCCGATCCCCTATCGGCAAGTTGATAGGGTCGACAAAGTTTAGGTAATGAAAATGACCACACACCCTAATGATGATCGTGTTGAATACAAATATCAATCAGAGGAGTTAACAAATACTTTTAAATAGCTCCCAAATATCCAAAAAAAAATTCCAAATTAAATTATTTAAAATCAAAATTTAACTATTCAAGTGCTTAAAGCAAAATCCATCCACCCTCTGCAATAGTTTGCCGAGATGGACAAATATGAAAAATATCCAGCTCACAAAAATTTAATGCCTAGTCAAAAATAACACTATGATCTATTCTCAAATAATCTTCTACCAGTAAGGACATGGTATGTGTCCTCTGACCGGCACTTTTGCCTCTAAATCACACCGAATGATAAACGATTATGACCTAGGGCCCTCTGAACTGAGTTGATTTGTCGCCAAATGGCACAACGAAATACTGGTTATGGTCAAAGTTAGTACGCTCCTTAGTGACATCAAATCCTTGAGATATTAATTAATAGAATATGATCAATAAGGCACAAAGCCCTCTGTTAGCTAAAGTGGACTCAAATTTGTCCCCTTAAACAAGCATTCACCTTAGGTCTACAAGGTACCCTTCGACGAAGCAACCCATGGTTGCCGACAAGGATCCTTCTGTCAAGTTGGGTCAACTACCTCCTCTGACAAAGCAGACCAGGGACCATGATGGTCCAAGACGACGGAACCATGAGATCTTGATCGGGTCCATCATCCATTCCCCCACCATCCATTTTAAGTGCAAGATGGTGAAATTTTCCATTTTAAATATCAAACCTTGAACATTTGAATTCCAAATATACAAACTCATGCTGCTACTATATGTATGATACTACATATCTATGGATATAATATATCTATTTGACGACTAGCCTTAATTGAAAGTTCTCTCTCGTGATCGGGAGGAGTAATTAACTATAAGGGCTTGCGCTTATAAGAAACAAAAACTCAAATCATAAAGTCCTCGCAAAATGAGGTTGAAATCTCTGGGTAGTGTCTTATCTACAAACTCATATGCCTTCCAAAAATTTACCTTAGAACTTAATCCATTAAAACTCCCCCGAAGAAAAGCTCAGCAGGTGGAGGCCGGGGCCAACTCTTCGGAGCCCACAATTCTCTAGGTACGTATTACATTTTATAGCAAAGCTATGTATGCACTTCATCGGTTAGCATTTATGAAGAGTGGCGAAGCTTAAGGATTTGAGTTATTTAAAACAATAAGCTATATTGGACTATGTGAGTTTTATTGGCACGGAACCTCACAATGTTTGCAAATTTTTTAGAGGTCTTACTCTGTGTTTAAAAATTAAGATCTTATTTTTTCTTTCAAAGATTTGTGTAAAAATGGGTTGCCTATGAAGTGTGTCGGATTATGATATTTTTTATTGGATTTCGGCATTACCTAAATATACATTTTCTTTTCTTTCCTGGTTTTTTTTTTCTTTGGGATAATGTTGTGCTGCTCGATCTTGAATGCTGCTTCATTTGCTGGTGCTCAAGTTAAAATGGCAAATGTTCAAGCTGCTTCCTAGTGATCAGATATACCATAATGCTGTACACTATGGTGTTGACACTCAGCCATCAATAAAAGAGCTTTCTGACTTGTCTGAAGCCTGTAGTAAGCTGTGGGAACTTGATTTAAACCGCTTGGTTCCAGGAAAGGATTACGAAATTGATTGTGGTGAGGGGAAAAGAGCTCACCAAAAGGGAGATATGGCACCAGAAAGCTTGTTTAAGTGGTTGGGTGATGATGTGCTTAGGCGCTCTACTTATGCTCGTTTCTGCTCCCTTTTAGATAACTACTTTCCTGAAGAAAGTATTACAGAAGATGTAACTCCTGAAGAGATACAAGAGCAGACTGAATTTATTGAGGAGATATTCAGGACACCTCCAATTAATTATCTACATAAATATCTTGTTGAGAAGGGCCTTGTATCTGGTAATTCTGAAGAGTTTAAGGAAATGTTGAATCATCTATGGTTTGATCTTTATTCAAGAGGAGGTGGATATGACTCCTCTTCTGCTTTTGAACATGTTTTTGTTGGGGAAATCAAGGGTCGTAAGGGAAATGTCGTCTCAGGTTTTCACAACTGGATTCAGGTAGTATTTTAATGAAAATGTTGTTCTATAAAGTTCCACTGAAGTATTTTAATGAAAATATTGTTCTATAAAGTTTCATAGTCAATGGTTAGGACTACCGATTACTAGGACTTTGTCACAATTTTAATGGATATTCCTTGGTAGCTCTGAAATTAAAGCATCAACTAGGGCACTAACCTGTGCAGTTTTATCTGGAAGAAGCTAAAGGAAATGTAGACTATCAAGGCTATATTTTTCCCAGAAAGCATGGAGAGCATGTAAGTATTTTTAATTTCTTCATGACATTCTTAATAATTAACTTCATTATTTAATATTTTCTTTGTATGCCTCATAAGTACAATAAGACATCTGCCTTTGTTTAGAATAAGATTTGATTTATCAAACTGGCCAATATGACCTTGGTCTGACTAAATGTTCTTTGGAATTCCTAAAAATAAGGACCATATCATGAGGTATAAATGTGGAAAACTTATAATTAGTTGTTAATGGCTATAAGTAGGAGATTCTTCTTACCTTGTCCTATAACCATTGTTTGTTTTCTTCCAATATTTAATTATTTAAACATAAAAACAAAATCGATGTTGGTTTTATTCTGTTATATAAAGCACTCTTGCCAATAGTTACATGAAGAAGTTGCCTTCCTAACATGGAATGGGGAAAAAATTAAATCAATATATCATGATGGATTTCATGTTTGCATGGATCTAGTTGCTCTTTGATTAGCTCTGAGATTAGAGCTACATCTATTATCTCTGGACTGCAATAATATCAGTGCAGATCTAATTGCAGTTAGGTCTATCCTGATAGAAAATTCAAAAGGATATCCTAACATTTTTTACTTATTTAAAATATAAAAACTAAATTTATTATTTCCTATCCACAACATTAAATCAATTGCCCGCACTTAATACCCCATTCATCGAATATTTTCATTTCTCTTTGACACTGAAGCTATTTTCTCTCTCGATGAGTGATAAACACCATCAACGCCAGACTCTCGACATCCTAATATTAATTATTTTAAGCACAGATTCTAGTTAAATGACCTATTATTTTTAAATTATTTTTAAAATTATACTTATTCAATTTTTATATGCTATTTTTAAAAAATAAAATTAATAATACCGTGTCAAACCCGTGTTCGTGTCATATATTTTCAATAATTGGCATGTCCCGTGTCCGTGTCATATTCTATCCGTATCATCATGTCTTTGTTTGTGCATCATAGCATGGGAACAGCCTCATAGCAAAGAGGTTTTCATGGAAAAAATCGGCCAACTTCGATCATCCATCCAATACTTGAAGCAATAATGCATCACAATCAGGCCATCTTATGTTTTAGTCGATATAATTTTGAACATTTTCTAGAATTGTCCTAGGTATTCATTCTAATAACATAAAGAGAAATATTGGTGGAAGTGGTCATGTTTTGGAATCGATACTTATAAATAACCAAAATCATATATGATAACCTGTGGCACCCCAATGTAAGATTTGGTCTACTTGCCCGCCTAAATTATTCAATACTTGCTTATAGTTCGAAACATGTATTTCTGTTGGAATTTTGTTTTTAACATCTATTTTTTATTCGCTTTATAAAGAGTGGTGAAGTAAGAGTGAGAATCAAGCTTTGCAATAATAACACTACCAATAAAAAAATTTGCACCTGATATTGTTGTCCTTACTTGCAGAGGATTTTTCAACTAAATCCTTAAACTATTTGTTAATTAATTATGTGAATCAAATATTAGTTAAATATAATTTAATTAATTTGGACTAGTTCCTAATTCCTGTTTTTTTTCAAGTTAACATATGCCTCTTATATAGCCTTCTCTTGTGTAGCCTTGTACGTGGCTTTGTTTCTTGTATTTGTTTTTCCCTTAAGCAAGTGGGCCTCTTGTGGCTTTGGAAGCCCGAGCAAACTAGGATGCGAGCCAAGCAATCAATGAATGAGAGGAGAGGCAATCCATGGGAGGGATTGCGACCTGGAGCAAGAGGAGGAGCTTGTGAACGGGGAGGCCGAGCGAGAGTAGTTATTGGGCTTCTTGTGCGATTCAAAGGTAAATCAAAAGGAGATCTTTCATCGGGAGAGAGATAAGTATCTTTGCTCTTAAGCTCTTCCATTTGGAGTTCCTTTGAAACCGACCAACGAGGAAAGGGCATCGTTGGGTGCCCGTTTTTTAGAAGGAATTGAGAAAGTTGAAAGATAGGCAAAGAAGTAATCTCAGGTGATATCTCTCACTTGTAATTTCTTTAAGAAATTTGTATTCCTTTGAAATGTTTATCTAGATCTATGCATTGTAAGTCATTGTAATTTGCTTGTGCATCTTAATAAAAGAAGTTAGCCATCTTTCTCTCCATAGATGTAGGCACCCCTTGTCAAAACACTTAAACCCATGTGTTCTTGATTCTTTTGGTTGTTTTTATGATTCTTTGATTTACATGTTTTATGTTCAAGTTTGCAAGATTCTTGCTTAAGGATTGTATGTTCAATCTTGCTTATTGATTTTATCAAGACATTTGATCTCTTGTAGTAAATTGTATAGGATTTGGTTGATTTTAGTTTCTTGCATATATCTTGGTGAGCATGTTGGCTAGATTCTCATATGTATGTACTTTCTAAACTTCCACAATACCTTCAGCTAGAACATCCCTAATAAAATGCAATCTGACATCAATGTACTTTTTTCTTTCTTGAAATATCTGATTTCAAGCTCTTCAATAAACCCTTTCAAGAAGCTATATATTTTGACTATTAATAAAGCCACAATTGACTGAAAATTGAAATTCCAACTGACTATGTTACCATAGACTTGAAAGACATAACATGTCAAAGATCTATGCTTGTCCAAATCTCTTGCATAATCTGAATCCACAAACCCTGAAATATGCTCTACCCCAATTTTCCTTTATGTAACTCAACCCAAAACCATATGATCCTCCGAGATATCTGAAGATCCACTTAACTGCCCTCCAATACTCTTTTCCCATATCAGTCATGAATCTACAAATCATACTCGTAACATTTGTAATATTTGGCCTGGTGCAAATCATAGAATACTTTAAACTATCAATTGCACTTTCATACAGAACTGAACTCATATACCTCTAATCTTCCTTTGTTGTTGGTGATTGTGACACGGAAAGTCTGAACTGTGAACCCAGTGGTGATGCAATTGATTTGGTTGATTCCATTCCAAATTTCTTATAACTTTTCAGCTATAACTTTGTTGAGACAAATTCATTAAGCCTTTATTTCTTTCCCTTATTACATCTATCACAATTATTCATCTGGCTTGACCTAAATCTTTCATCTCAAATTGACTGTTCAATAATTGCTTTAACTGATTCCAGAAACCCTTTTGATCTCTGCTCAATGCTTCTTTATACAATATCTGTTGGCATCAGCTCTGCTTACATCTGATCTGCATCACTAATCTCTACAACATTAGTGTCTTGTGTGTTCTCCAGATCCCTTTTAGTAATATGACCAATCATCATTTTTTGCTAATTGAAGATGACATCTCTGCTAATAATACACTTGGATTCATCTAAAAGTCAACATCTGTACCATTTCACTCCCTCTGATTATCCGAAGAATATACCTTTCTTGGATATTAGTCCCAATTTTTGCTAATTCATATGAACATATGCTGTACATAAAAAAATTGTTAGATTAATGTTGTCTGCCTTTTTTGCTATTCAGATTTCGGTAGGAGTTTTGAGTTCTAATGGTATAGACGGACTTTTATTTAGCAAGTAACAAACAGTATTAACTGCTTCTCCCCATAAATGCTTATCCATTTTAGCAAATGATAACATACATTTGATCTTTTCTAGCAAAGTTATGTTCGTCCTCAGACCAATACAATTCTATTGCAAAATCATTCTTACATGATCTTTGTAAAATTCCATGATATTTGTAAAATTCAATAAACTCAATATTCAAATATTCTAACCCATTATCTATTCTCAACCTCTTAATTCTTTCCAATCTGATTTTCAACAAGCATTTTCCATTGCTTAAATATTTTAAATGCTTTATTTTTATGTTTTGAAATATAAATCCAGACTTTTATCGAGAAATCATTAATGAAGGAGATAAAATATTTACATCCACCCAAAGTTGAAATAGGAGTAGGTCCCCAAATATATGAATGAATGTAATCGACAATCCCTTTGATTATCTATTGTCATGTATCAAACTTTACCTGAGTTTGTTTTCCAAAGATGCAATGTTCATCGAACTTAATCTTATTCATATTATCTTTGTCAAAAACTCCTTGTTCATATAAAACTTTTAAAACCTTCTGACTAATGTAACCAACTTGAAGATACCAAAGCCTTTTTTTATTTCTCTGTAACATTCAAAGTTTCTATTGAATCTGTCATTGTTCTTCCCAATAAAGAATACAATATGTTGTCTCCTGCCCTTTAGAATCACAGTTGAACCTATGATAACTTTAAGAGCATCACTTTCTACTTTTCAGTTTCTTGAGAGTACCGAGAGACAACAAGTTTCTTTTCAGATCTGGCACATTCCTAACTTCTGTAAGAGTCTGTTAGACCGGTCCAGTGGACCGGTCCAGCCGGTCCACGCGGGACCGGCTCAGACGAGAAACACGCAAAACAGCAAATTTTTCCGCCTGGGCAGAGGCCGCGCGCACCGCTCGCCTTGCGGGAGCCGAATAGGAAGCTTTTTTGGGGAAATTAAGAGGGGAATTTGAATGTAGGGACTGTTTAGGGATTTCCTTTTGATTGGTATGCATTAAAGAGTGGGTTTTCCTAGGGTTGGAGCATCTTCAATTTGGCTGAAATTTGAGGTCTCTTAGATTTAGGTTTTCTTTGGGCTCTAGCGGCGTCTAGAGATTTGGGAGAGATCGATCCTCCTCTCGAATTGAGGATCAATTGTATCTTGCTATTTTATTCATCTACAAGTGAAATACAAGTCTTGACTTGAGTTTTCTCTCAATTTTCTCTCTAGTTCTTGCTGTTTTCCTGTGATCACCTGCTGTCCACTGCTGTAAACAGCAGCTTTTCTTGCTGTTTTACTTCAAATTTGGCTAAGAACTACTTGAAATCAAGTATTTCCTATCAGAGTCCTGATCACTCCATTGTCAATCTTGATTCTAACCATTCCAATCCCATGGACTTTACATGTTATGTCATTTCCTATAATGACATTCCCTCCATTGACTTCTTTGAAGGAATCAAATCAGTGCTTATTAGTAGTCATATGAAATGAACACCCTGAATCTGTTATCCAATCCTCCCTGTTAGAATTTATAGTAACAACCAAAATCTCTGAATCCTCAAATCTATCTGATGCTACTGACACATCCCAAATTCAATTGACTTTTCTTTATCTTTCTTTTTCAGATCTAGACAAATTTTCTTATAATGTCCTTATTTATGAAAGTGAAAACACTTGAATTTGGTCTTAGACTTGTATCTTGACTTGTTTATATACTTGTTCTTTTCTTTCTTATCCATCCTGCCTCTAGCATTCAAACCTAGAACTCCTGATTCTTTTTTAAATTTTGGTTTCTATCTATGTAGATTTTAACTCAGTCTAAACTTCTTCCAATGATAAAGTCTCTCGAGCATATTTCATTGTTTCAACAAAATAAGCATACAATTTATGAAGTGAATTTAGAATGATTATTGTCTGATTCTCATCATCCACCTTAACTCCAAGATTTTATAAATCGATGAATATTTTATTGGAATCATCCAAATTATCCTCCAGACTTTTTGACTCGGACATTTTAAATCCAACAAAATTTTCTTGTAGTACTATTATGCAAATTCTTAGCCATATACATTTGTTTCAATTTCAACCAAATCCTAGCAGCAGTCGTTTCTTTATCAACCTCATGAAGAATCTTGTTGCTCAAGTGCAACACCTGCGTACTATAGGCTAACTACATGATATTTATCTTCTCATCTGGATCTAAAGAACTTGACAAATTTCTCTCTTCTTCCAATACCTTAACAACTTTTTTTGGATCAAAACAGCTTTCATTCTTTTTCTGCAAATTAAGAAATTTATTTTTCCATTGAACCTCTCGATCTTAACCTTTGAAACCCTATTTTGTTTAAAACCTAAATAGTGTCTATGATACCATTTTGTTAAACTTCAAATGACTTTTAAATGCCCAACTGATTCAGGATCTTTTCCAAATTGAGTTACTAAATCTTTGAATTGAAAATTGCCTACAATTGAAACAAAAACCCCAAGCTAGTGAAATTTAGATTATGTTATAAAATAAAGAATTATCTTAATTTTTTTTTACAAAAATAAAATTACTAAGTAACCAATTTATTATTCAATTAATTGAAAACTTTTCTTCACTAACATATGCACAATATGACTAGAGTTATTTTCCAATAATATAACCTTTCTTTAGATAACACTTGCAAGCCAATAACAATAGTAATTGATTGATAATTCAAGTTACATGAAGCTATACAAGATATATGCAATAATCTAAGATTGGCCAACAACTATACAATTTACTACAAGAGATCAAACTTTTTGACAAAATCAATAACCATGATTGAACATAAAATCTTTAAACAAGAATCTTGCAAACTTGAACATAAAACATGTTAATCAAAGAATTATAAAAAACAATCACCGAAAGAATCAATAACACATGGAGTTACGTGGTTTGACATGGGGTGCCTACATCCGGGGAGAAAGAGGGCTAGCTTCTTTGATTAAGATGCACAAGCAAGTTACAATACATATATCTTGATAATCTTTCAAATTTATTAAAGAATTTACAATTGAGATACATCATCTAAGATTACTTATTTGTTTACCTTCCAACTTCCTCAATTCCTTCTCAAAATCGGCCCCTCAATGATGCCCCAGCCTAGTCCATAGGTTTCGAAGGAACTCTAAATGCAAGAGTTTAAGAGCAAAGCTACTTACCTCTCTCCTGATGCAAGATTTCCTTCTGATTTAGCTTTGAATCGCACAAGAAGCCTGAGAGCTGCTCTCGCTCAGCCTCCTCGTTCAGACCATCCTCCTCTTGCTCCAGGTCCCCATCCCTCTCTTGGTTTGCCTCTCCTCTTGTTCGCTTCTTGCTTGGCTTGCCTCCTAGTAACGAGCTTCCAAAGCCGCAAGAGACCCCACCTGCTTATGTAAGGGGAAAATAGATATAAGAAACAAAGCCACATACAAGGCTATACAAGAGAAAGTTACACAAGAGGCATATGTTAACTTAAACAAAAATGCAAGAATTAGAAATTAGTGCAAATTAGGAGCTATTACTTGTGCTCAAACACAAGGTGGCTTGATCAAGTATTTTCCTATTTCTGTGGATTACAGCAAGGATCAGCCTTACTCATGTCTTAAATAATAATAATAATAATAATAATAATAATAAAACCCTTACTCATGTATTTTTGCTTTAGTCATGGATGTTCTCACTTGACATTTGCAAGAGGTTGTACCATGGTGTATGCTTTTTTGAATCTTGTCTTCTGAATTTTGATTGTAATTAGTTGGTCGAGCAAATTAGAGTCTGCATCATGCTTGTCACGCTATCCTAATATGGATTTAGATGCCTAAAGTTGTGTTTATCATATTCTTGTAGCCATTTGGCTTAATGTTATACTATGGACTGGCTTATTTTTAAGATTCTTTGTTCACGTTATCAATGGTTCCTTCAATTCCTTCTTGTACAGTTTCTATTCTTTAGGTATTTCATGTGGATTATAGTTAGTTATCCAAGGAATGTAATCTATATTGCAATCTAAACGTGCATGCCTCTAGACCCTGAAATTTACAACATCAACCACTCTATGTATATTATGTGAACCAAGCTTGTGATTTGAATTTTGATAAAATGTCCAAATTCAAAAGCTAAAATAAAAGACTAAACAGCATTTTGCCTAGATAAGAAAATGTGATTGGAAACAGGACTTCTTCATCATGATTTTTGTTTTTCCAAACTGAGTGTATTGTCTTTTGGTTGTTCCATCTTTTTTGTAGCAGCACTACATAAGCACAATTCACATTTTGAACTTAAACAACTACTTTAATTACCGTTTTGGTTATCACTTATTATCTGGAATTGGTACATCAAAGATATTTTGCCAAGTTAATCATGCTCTATAACCCCAAGCCCTCGTATCATCAATCCGATTAATTAAAGGTTATTAAGGCTTCATTTGAGGCGGCTTTCTTTCTGCTTCTTAAAGCGGCTTTTTAGTTTAAAAAAAATTGTACTAAAAAACCGCTTTAAGAAGCAGTAAGAAAGCTGCCCCAAACGAAGCCTAAGAATACTAAATTCATAAAATGTACAACATTATTCACTATAATATGTTAAGTATTGTAATTTAAAGAACTTAACCACCTTCACTATTTCTTCCTTCTTACGTTTTATATGTAATAGCTATCTAATTTTTGTTCTTTTTTGAAAAATACAGCCAGACTCAGAAACTCAGTTGCTAACCATTCAATTCAAGTGGAATGGTGCCCTGAAGTCTGTATCCACCACTTTAGTTGGTGTGAGCCCGGAGTTCGAAGTTGCCCTCTACACTCTTTGCTTCTTTGTGGGTAAAGAAGATAATCATGTTCGTTTGGGTCCCTACTCTGTCAACATTAAATGCTATCATTTAGGACGTGACAAGATTGGCTCAGCCTTTCCCATAGCTGAATGTTGATTATGAGCACTGTGAAGTTTGGATCATTTCTGGACCTAAATTTCTTCAACTGGACATCAAAGTTGTATTGATGAAGCCAATTGCCTTGTTGACGCTTTCTGTATGGTATCGGTATTTATCTGCTCTGATAATTATCAGTTTGCCCTTACTGACAAAATGATAATATGTTTATCTATGGAGAGTTCTAGAAAAGAAAAGGGTTGATAATGCTTATATTCAAGTCATTAATGATATATATACAGGAGCTATTACTCGTGTTCAGACACAATGTGGTTTTACCAAGTATTTTCCTATTTCAATTGATTACATCAAGGATCGGCCTTAAGCCCATATCTTTTTGCTTTAGTCATGAATGTTCTCACTAGACATTTGCAAGAGGTTGTACCTAGGTGTATGTTTTTTTGCTTCTTGTTGATAAGACTAGAGAGAGTTGAAGGTAAACTTGAATTATGGAGGTCAACCTTAGGGTTTAAAGGCTTTCGTTTGAGTAGATCTAAAATTGAATATATAGAGTATAATTCTAGTAGTAATAGTTCTTGTAGGGGGATTGTGACTTTGGGTGATCAAGTTATTATAAGAGTATACGTTTTAGATATTTTGGATTTATTGTTTAAAGTGATTATGAAATAGATGGGAATATTATTAGTAGAATTCAAGTTGGATGGTTGAAGTAGAGGAATGCATTGGGCAGCTTGTTGTGTGATAGAAAAGTCCCCTTAAGTAAAGTCCCCCTCAAACTTAAGGGGAAATTCTATAAGATGGTGGCTAGACCTATAATGGTTTATAGTACAAAATGTTGGCCATTAAAAGAAAAGCATAATATTAAGTTAAGTGTTGCAGAGATGAGGATGCTTAGGTGGATGGGTTGCTTTACTCTTAGAGACATGATACAAAATGAGCATACATATGAAAGGTTGGAGTAGCTCCAGTGGAAGATAAGAATAGAGAGAGTCGTCTTAGATGATTTGGTCACATAAAAGAGCGACTTTCCGATGACCCTGTTAGGAAAGTAGATGTATTATATTTGACTTATGCTAAGAAATGCAGAGGTAAACCTAAAAAGTTGTGCAATGCTCTTATAAAATGGTTTTCTATTCAAGAGGTTTTTAAAATTACCAATTCACTGCCCCTCTTAGTTAGCATTGGGATTATTGCGTTAGGTCTAACAACCTATACGGGCTTTCAAGAGATAGAAAAAGAAAGAGAGATTTTGTTTTCTTCATTATTCACCCAAACCAAACATTCTCTAACACAAACACTTTCACTTCTCAAAACCATACATCTTCAACTTTCAAACATACACTTCTCCCTTTCAAAATGCACACTTCACCATTCAAAGATCACGCACTACACCTTACATTTCATATACACAATTTCCAACATTCCAAAACACATACAATTTCCACTTTTCAAACACACATACGCATGTCATGTTCCAAAACATACGTAGATTACTTTCCAAAGATACATACACTTTCACTTTTCCAAAACCCACACATGTTCCACTTTTACACACAAATGCAAATCACTTTCCTTGCCAAACCAAATACTTTACTTCTCACTTAAACATACACTTTTCCACTTTTCAAATCATACACTAGTTCTACCACATCTCCACCTTTACACATTTCGCCTTTCTCAACATACACAAATTCATCAAACACTTTATTTTCATAAACACACAATTCTCTTTTCAAAGCATTTCACATATTACTTTCTAAAAAAAACACACACATACTTTCATTTTCCAAACCCTTATGGACTTCCTCCTCAAAGCAAGCATAACTCTTCATGTAAAGTACTCTTCTCTTTCTTTCCCCCAAAGAGGATTTGATACTAATTTACTTTCTTCAAAGAAATCAAGAGGCTTCTCAACACAAACCATGATTCACTCAGCCAAAATCTTTCATATATGTAATATAAAACTTCAATCCCTTTCCCCCTCGAATCATAAATATGCAAAAACCCATTGCACAACCTCACTTCTATAAAAAAAAGAAAGCAAGAATATGGGTAGAAGTGAATAAGAGACAAGATTCAACACTTTTGCAACTTACTAAGGAATATTTCAGCATTTTTCAACTCTTCGCAAGAAGATTTCAGCACAATATAATTCATTACAAGAAAAAATCAGCACTATGTAAGTCATCCAAAAGAAATATTTTAGCACTTAATAACTCACAAAAACAAAATTCAGCACAATGTGACTCATAACAAGAAGTTCTCCAACATAACCATAGGCCCTTGCTTCTTCACTCCACCAAAGATGAATGTTACCTCTCCAATCAAAATTCATCAATCACATATAGTTATTTGCTAAGAACTCATAACAAGCATCATGGTCATCACTAGTGTGACAAAGTATCAGAACTCCAATCAAGAACTATTGGAAAGAATAAATAAATAAAGCCACATTTTTTTTAACAATCGATTCCATAAAGAAAGAGCTCTCCATTATCACACTAAACACATAAGTTTCTTATTGAGTAAATCAAATTCTAATGATGAAGGAAAAGAAATAGAGATCAAATGCCAGTACATTTCAGCCCCACTTCAAGATTCATACCTTACTCAAGCTGCCATTATTATTCCATATGGATGCACCAAAAACTAATTCAAACTTTCCCTTTAACTACTATATAAGACTATTCATAGCACCTTGCTTGTATTTTCATTGTAATTGGCTATGATAAGACTATAGAGAATGCATTTGCAAAAGGTCTCTCACTCATTGCTAAACAACCTACAACATAAAGTAACCAATGTAGAATGCTACATTGCCATTCTTCCAAATGCTGAAGTGCTTTTCTTATTGGACTAAAAGATAGTGCACAATAAACAAGAAAACATAATAATCGTATGGAGTATTTGCTTGAAAGAAATCAGCAAGAAAGAAGAGTGAAAGATTTGATTACTACAGCTTGGCTTAATCCAAGCAAGAAAATGAGAGGGTTGCTAGGGCTTGGAAATCACAGAGGTGCAGAAGGAGAAGATGCAAGGGGAAATATACATAGAGCAAGCGAGCTGACGGCTAGGGCAAATTGGCGGCTCGTAGACGACGACCAGGAAAGGCGCCGGATCGGACGGGAGAGAGGAGGCGGACGAGGGCTTAGGGGGTTTCGGTCGGCTAGGGCTGGCGACCGGCGTTGGAGAGCGGCGAGAGAGAGGTGCGGCCCGGCCCTGGGGTCGTGCGAAGCAGAGGGAGACGTGCGAATGGGTAGCTTCGCCTGGGGCTTATCACGCGACCAAGGGAGGAGGCCGACGGACCTGGGGGGTTTGCGTACTGGAGGGAACGGAGAGGGGTGTGGCGAACGTGGGGGACCTGTTTAAACCGGTCCAACCAAACTGCACCTTAGGTTTAGCCCAAACCACCTCGTAGTCTTCTCTAAACAATTAATTTATTAGTTAACTTTTCATGACATATAAAATTAAATTTTAACGAAATTTATTGTTGATTAAATAAAAATGACTTAAAAATTTTTTAATTTAGATCAATTTGAATTAATTCAATTAATTTGATTAATATTAATTAGGATTCAAATACCTTGCGATGAGTCAGGTTGGGCCTCTTGGATCTATTTTATTAAATTGAAATTGGATCGAGTTAGTCGAACTCAATCGTGTATAGATTTGCATCGAATTTGTTTCGATCAATGTTAATTTTGATAAATTTTATTTTTATTAACTTTACATGGCTTTATTTGGGTCAAATTAGGAGGTCGAGTCAAAACTACGTCAGTGATATCCACTTAGAGGGATCTTAAGGACGACATCTACACTAAGCTACGAAGACCTAGGTGCTAGAGTAAATTACAAGGAAATTGACCTCGAATAATGAGGTCAACAATATAGTCATCTGATTATTGTCGCCTAACTACATTGACACCCATTAGTTTCATCGCATAACATAACTACAATATTAATGCACTCCATCAATATTAACTTTGACTTATGGTATCAACAAGAGATTTTATGCTGGACTGGACTTCGTAGTCTCTAGTCCGCGGGAAATTATTAGGTCCGGTCACCTGACCTAAATTTGTGTCCGAATTTGTGCGCTTTTCATACGCTTTTGATGTTTTTTTTTTTGCAAAAAAGACAGCTAATTCGTAATTTTAATTGCATATTAGTTACCTTTTTGTAAGTATTTACAAAATAAAGCAAAAAACGTAACAAAAACACATCAAATATCTTACTCATTAAGTATTTGCTGCCCTTTTCTGCGCTTCTCACGTGTTTTTCAAATACTCAGTAAAAGGGCAACAAAAGTGTATTAAAATGGCTGCCTTTTTGCAAAAATACATCAAAAGTGCATGAAAAGCTCACAAATATGGACACAAATTTAGGTCAAATGACCAGACTTAATAATTAGCCCTAATCTGCCCTCCTAAAAGGAGTACGATCAAATTAACAATCACATAATATTTTAAAGATAGGCCCATTACAATAAGACTCTTTACATTCATCACTAAATACATTACATGAATTTTAGGTTTATTATATTATATCAATTCCAATCTTGAGGAAGGATAAAATTTGTAATTGATGTTAATCACTAATTAAAATATTTCAACTTGGTCAAACCTCAAATTATTTTCCACGTAAAAATTCTAGCACTCCTTACAACTCTTTTATCTCAGTGTGTGTTAGATCTTTGTATAATGCTAAGACTATAGTTCTAAAAACTATATAAGACATGAAATCGAAAGAAACATAGGTTCATGATTAAAATATTCAATTGGAAGTAGAGTTAGATGATATAATAAATATTAAAATTATTCAAATAATAATTAAATTATAATTAAAAATTTTAAAAATAAATGCATATCTTGATTAATACACATAAATAAGTTCAACTAAGGCGCAACATAAAGCACGTTAAGAAGTTCGATTAACAATTAATAACAATATTAGTATGTATGTATCTATGTATATATGATTATTAAATATTTTTAAAATTAAAAAACTATAATATAAAATTATAAATATAGATATAATTTATAGTAAAAATAATATTTAATATATTATACACATCTTATAACATAAAAAAAAATTATATTTATAACTTTCATAATACCCATTATAGCCGCTGAAATTCTCAGCCTAGCTCAATGTATTAGCCTAGCATATTCAATGAGGATTGTAATCCCACATCTTAACTCTCAGCTAATATTCACATGATTTTTCAGTCTCACATCATAGAGAGTATGAAATAGTTTAATTTATATAGTGAAAAATACAAGACAATAATAGAAGCTAAGCTATGTGAGGGGTAGTTATGTATCCTAATTAATTTTGTGTGCATGATCTTTTAAATGAATTTTAAAAATAAAGCACTCCATTTAAAAAATTATTAAAATAAAATTTAATATTTTGTAGATCTATCCGATCTTACAAACTTGAGATTGGCTCGATAATTTTTTAGCTAAAAAGGCAATTAAATTGGTTCATTCCGATTCAATTCTAATTCAATTTTCGAAACTTACTGAACTAACAAGTAACAACTCGATTGGTTCATAATCTCATCGGCCTATTATATCCAATTTTCAGAATATCGATTAAGATAATAAATTTTTGACCCTACCACAACGAATGTGTCGTCACACAACAAGTGTTAACCTTCAAGGTAATCCAACATCACAGCTTGAATGTGTCGTCACACTAAAGCGCACCAAGATGCAAGAGAGGACTCAATAATATACAACCTCCATATCAATTTTGTTGCGTCCAGGAATATTCGCGGCGGTAGAGAAATATAAAATTTAACGTCTTAGTGTTGTACGAAAATCCGGCACGCAATCAGATAAGAGAGTGTGTAGCATTCATAAGAGACATCAATATTTTTACGTGGAAAGCCCTTGAAAAGGAGGAAAAACCACGGGGCCTAGCCCAATTTGAATGAATCCACTAGTATTGAGTTGATTACAAATGAGGCCCTTCCTTGGGAGAAGGCCTTAACTTGATGTACATTTTATAGAGTACATTACATGATGTGAATACAAAGAATCACTATTGACGTATTCGTTTGGTCGGGAGGACCATAGTCTGGTGCCGGAGGTCAGAAAGACTGTAGCCTACGGACGACATAATCAGGAGGACCATAGTCGGCTGGCGACAGAGGTCGGAAGTACTGTAGTCGGTGGGCGACGTAAGTCAGAAGGACCATAGTCGGCGGGTGACATAAGTCAGTAGGACCGTAGTCGACGGGCGAAGGAGGTCGGAAAGACTGTTGTTTGACGACGAAGGTTAGAAGGACAGCATCAGGTAGAAGTCCAATAATGGAAAGAAATCCATCTTCGAATAGATGTCCAGCGAAAGTCTGATAACCGGTAGCTAGAAGTCCGGCATCGGGTAGAAACTTGGCGATGAGTGAAGGTCCGGTGTCGGGTAGATGTCTGACGCTAGTTGGAGGCCGAGGAGAATCCTGACTTCAGATGGTATTCAGGAAGAACTCCGGCGTCACTTGGAGGTCTGACGGAATTCCGGCATCAGTTGGAGGTCGGGCGGAATTCTGGCGTCACTTGGACGGAATTCCGACGGCGGTGGTCGAGGAGTTCTTCCCTCCTATCCTTCTTCTCTTGCTTGCACCTTGGCTTCGAGGCCCCTCTCAAGAGAAATGAGGGGTCTATTTATAGATTTTATAGAGTGGCATGGCATGTAAATAGATGAGAGATCAGGGACAAATATGGAGTTGTTGGAATGAACGGTCAATATTGAATCCTTCGATCGTGGACCGTTTATCAGGCATTTGAAGGTCTTAATGACTTCGGAATTTGGAGATCTTGGGCTCGTTGGATTCGTCTCGTCGAGTCACTCGATTCAACCATAAGCTCGTCAAGTTCAGAGACCGTTTATTAACTCAAATTGTTGTACGAACTTTCCAACAGTGTTTCAGGTCCTTGATTTGGACTCATTTGGGCTCGGATTGAGTTGAATTTGGTGCCGTTGGGTTCGTATTTTTGAGAAATTTAATTTTTGAAGCTTCCAGCTTGATTTCGCCTCAAGGTTCGGGCCCGATCAAAATAATTTTCTTGATGACATATCAAATTTAAATTTACAAATGATGTTTTGCTTTTTTAGGGGATCGCGGCAGGCAGACCGAAACCTACCTTTTCCTTAGATATTCCAGTATTCCACCATATCATGCAGCGCTTAATATTAACCTCATCGTTCTGAAGAAAAGTATTAATTAAGGAAAAAAAAAAATTTCCTCAACTCTTTAGGCAAATCACCAAAATGAAACCATTATCAGCAAGATTTTGAAATAGTAACTCTAACTTGCTAAAAAATCTAATAACAAAAAAGAGCAATTTTTATACCTAACCTCTAAGTTAAGTATGCAATCGATCCATAGCGTTGAAGCAATTTGAAATAGAACTGTAAGTGAAAGCTAGCCTATCACGAGAAATTATTTTGTGCGGACACCGGACGGTCCGAAAGCCAACCAAAACGAGCTACGTTCTCCTGGTACCCAGTGGTGCCCATTGAAACAATTTGAAAGAGAACTGCAAGTGAAAGCCAATATATCATGAGAAATTATTTTGTGCGGCCAACAAGAATGCCTACGTCTGCTGGTACCTAGTGGTACTCAGCAACAGTGCAAAGCAAAAAAAAGTGACTCGTTCTAATTGGCTTCTAGATGGCGTCCGGTGTCCACATAGAATAATTTATTGCTTATAACAGATCTACAATCTGATATCCGACTCAGCCGCGTTTTGGATAATCAAATAATCTTGTGGTCAGTTTTGCCAATCATCAGATGCGAGATAAGGGTTTCGTATTATAATTTTTAAGAAATAATTAATTTTAACGAATGAATCACTGGAACTTTCGCCTGATTATGATGCTAAAAAAAGCACGGGTCCACGCGGCTCTACTCCAGTACTCGGAACAGCTAGCTAGAATCCTTGTAGAGTTCGCGGCATCTTCCTCAATAATTTTACGTATAGACCCAATAATTCAAATATTACGATAATACACCACCAAGCACTTTCTCCAATAATTAATGCTGGGTACCAAATAATTAAAATATTATGAGCACAGAACCAAATGGAGGGGGAGACGAACCTGAAAGTTTCCACAAACACGAAATTATAGAATAGACCTCCTAGATTCGCAAAATTTACAAAGCAAACTCCGACAGAGCGTTGCTCGCGTTTCTTCGTTTTCCTGAGAACCAGGAAATTAAAAAAAAAAAAACTATAGATCGCGGTGGCCGGCGGCGGAATCCGATCTGAATCTCAAGAGTGCGAACAAATCCAAACCTTATCCTAATCCCCTTCTTCTTCTCCATCTCTTATCTCTATCAGTTCTGTCACCGCCTCATCGGTTCTCAGCCAGCCACGACGGCGCCGGCGCGAACGTGAATCGTCTGCGAATTAGGCGAGCTCGAAGACTTTTTCTGCTGCTTCTGTTGCTTCTCTTTCTTTACAGCGACCTTCCAGTTCATCTCCTTTGCCTCATCCATCTCTATCTGCTCCTCACGGCATACCTCGCTACAGAACGGAGTGTCACCCCTGCAACAAATTCACCCAAACCCTTTTTAGATCTCGATTCCAAGCCCTAAAATCATTAAAAAAAAACAACAAAAATAGCCAACCAATTCAAGGTTTGTTGTTATAACCTGTACATAAAGATGTCGTCGTTGCGCGAGAGGGGTTTCTTGCAGAGGAAGCAAGAGTCGAGGAAGTGGTGGGGTTCGTCATCGGAGAGGTCTTCATAGAAGAAAGTAGTTGCGGCTGGGAGCGAAAAAGATCGGTAGGTAGGCCGTCGTCGGAAGGGTGGGGCGGCGGCGATGGCGGAGCAGCCAGAGAATCCCGCCTCGATGTCGTCCATGCCGATGAGCGAGTCGAATGAGTAGGAAGGGAAGGAGAGCGCCGAATCGTCCATGGCCAACTCAGGCTTTCGATGGGCGATGAGCGAAAGCTATGCCTGTGATTCTATGATTCAGAGGAGGTAGTGGTGGACTGGTGACCAAAAGAAGTCGGAGGTTATAAAGAGCGAAGAAGGGTGTAGAATGGGAAAAAGTAACCATGGGGTAGGCCAAGGTGCGAACTGGGAAAAGGACAAAAGTGATTTCTTAATGAGAAATGTTTGTACTTTTTTTCTTAAAATAATTTCACTAAGCAATTGCTTAATAGGCTGAGGGAGGGCATCAGGCGCTTGATTTGTTGAAAAAAATAAATAAAAAAAAATATAATAATTATAAATATTTGTAAATAATAAAAATAATATAATAATTATAAATATTTGAAATTATTTTGATGAGATTATAATAAACATAATTAATTTTTATTTATTAAGAGGAAAAATAAATGTTGTACAAAATCTAATAATAATGGTAGCTGGTGACCAATGAACGAAGAGGGCAAATGGTGGGCACTTGATCAATAGGAGAATCAACGTATAATGAATAATTAATATAAAAAACTAACAAATTTATAATACATCAAAAAAATACTACGAAGTCCAAAATAATTCAGAAAAATTTTAGACATCATTTATTTTCATCAAATCAAGCACAAAAATTTAAAAATTAAATCCCCTACAGTTGAAATACTTCTGCATATATTTTATTTGTCAAACCAAATTAACACCTAAGTAAAATAATAATAATAATTTCATACATAACATTTAAATTTTAGTCACAATAAAATTAAATCCATATTTACTTATATTTTTACAATTTTTTAATGATTGCATAAATATATGAATACATAAATTTGAAAGTCATATATAAATCTCCCAAATAAAAATATAAAATAGTTGTTACAATTTATAAAGCATAAAATATTACATGAAATATTCTTAAGAAAATAAAACAATACTGTGCACTAATGTATTTTAAATCATCCCCCATCCACCACCTCTTTCTTACTTCTTGCATGAAACACTTCGATTGTTACTATTAAAATTATTGTGAAAATTAGACTTATAGCATTCCTTAGGGGTTTTCATGTTAAGGAGAGTTGGGTTCCTGCTCATGAATTTATGTTGTTGCTGCTAATAAATTACAAAATAAAGTACCAATAATCTTTTGAAGATAATTGCATTACCTCAAAGCCCTTTCACAAAATTGCTCTAATTTTCACCATAGAATCTATCATCCACAATTTATATCTATTATCTTATATAACGGTTTTTTATAAGTTAGAACTCATGATTTTTTTTCCTTTTTAGACTTAAAAAAAATATTGTGTTTCATATGCAAAAATTTCATATAATATAAAAAAGATAAGCACAGATACTCTCTATATGCCGTTACAAATATTTCAAAACACAACAATTATATATAGTTCTTACACATGGCAAGTTCAAGATATTATGATATTTTATATTATTTGAAAATAAAATAAAATTTTAAAATTTTGACATATAATAAATCTTTTTTTTTTTTAATTTGTAGATATAGTTATTTTTATGTTGATTATTGATAAGAAGAGGAGAAAATACAGCATAAAATCTTGAATTAACAATCCCACAAATTTATAAATAAATCCAGATATATTCTTCATATTTTATACAAATCGAATTTCAAAGTTCTTTTGGATTATTGTACCGCGAAAGCGCTTGGAAAAGTCCAGATGACTCTCGTGATGCTCTCAGTGATAAGCTATCAACTGTTCGTCTGATTCCCCCATCTTTCCAAAAGAAGAGTTTGATTAGCCGTTTTCATCTTCTGTATCAACACATCGTTCAATTCCTCTTCTTCTTGGAGAAAATCTGCTCTTCATCGTCCATTGGTGGCCAACTTATATATCTTGCCCCCTTTCCTTCTGAGAGATGAACTCTCCTTGTAAGAGATGAATTGCTCTAACAGCTTTTTGTCACTCTCTCGAGAGTGACAAAAAGCTAGAGATCAGATTGACTATCTAAAACGAGCTCGTTTTAGATAGTCAATCTGATCTCTAGCTTTCTGACTGCCCTTCGTCGTAACGACATCAATATCCTTAAATTTTTCTCTACTGAAACATGAAATATTTTTTTTTAATTATATTGCTGTCTCCTTTGATCAAGGAGAAAGACAATAAATTATAATTACAATTTTGAACTAATATAGGCTTTCTGGTTAGAGAAGAGCTTTAGGATATGTTTGGTACCATAATTTAGGCCGGATTTGAGTGAAATCAAGCCAAACAGCCTAAAATGCAAAACCAAATCTCACGGCAAATGAAAGCCGCCATAGACGAAAAATTTTGCCTTTTTGTGCTGAATTCTGGATTTCCAAAATCCTATTTTTTGTCGGTTTTACAAAATACATTGGCTCGAGATGAAGAGTCTGCTCGTTAAATCCGCTCTATAGCCAAACAGTCACACGGGATTTCATATAATTTATCATGAATGTTATCAAATAGTTTTCAAAATTTAGGCCTCTCAGTATTTCGAAAATCCTGATTTAAAGGATTTACGAAATCCTAAAGTATTGGTGCTACCAACAAGGGGTGTCAATTTCGGGTCACGGGTCGGGTTCGGGTCGAACCCGAAACTGACCCGGCACTATTCGGGTCAACCCGAACCCGACCCGTTTTTAAAAACGGGTCAGTGGTTTTCGGGTCGGGTTTTCGGGTCAAAAACGGGTCGAAATTTAGGCCTCTCAGTATTTCGAAAATTTAGCCCGTAGGTTTTTTTTTTTTCTAAGCTTTTCATATTTTTTAGAGAAAAAAAAAACTGCGAATATCAAAACTAAGATAAATTTTCCTTTTTACGTGATTATGTTACACGCAATAATTATAATGATGTCACAGCCCATCTCCATGTGCACGCAACAAGAAAGTCCTTGAGAACCTGAATGGATCTTGGAAATTTCGAAAACAGGAATAAAAGGAAATTTTAATTTAAGAAAATTAAAATCCTGTTGATATGATAAAATTTATGAAATATTAATATTATTTCTATATTCATTAAAAACTTTTAAAAAAAATTATTCCTCGAATATATCCAAAGCTTTCAAGAAGCTGACAAGATATTTTCTAACAAATGCTTGAACAGAAATTCCCACACAAAAAAGATTAGTATTCTGAATGAGTCACAGTATTAATGGGCAATATTTTTCGACTTAATTTTGGACTTCTTTGTTAATCCATAAAATTGATATTGATGAGAGTTCTTCAAGAGAGAATTTTTTATTTTCTGACAAATTTTAATTAGATTGAAATAGATAACCAAAATAATTTGATTAATATACAAAAGAACTTCATGTGGCGTTAGGACTATCAATTTGGCAAGTATAGCTATAAAAATGGACCTACTTTTTACTCAAATTAAACTTGGGGTGAAGTAAATAAGCCGACTTATTAGTCAGGGCCGATTTGGATTAAATTTAAATTATATTTTGAATAGGGCTGGATACAGTACTGGTCATATCAGCTTATTTCATGAACCAAGAGTTCACGCTACCATATATTATAAAATATTATGAATCAAGAGTTCACGCTACCATATATTGTAAATATGATAGACTGATAGTCACCATCTTTTTAACTTTGCTCAATTTTAATTGAGGGTGATCAAAATTATGACTATTACAAGTTGAATGGGTCGATTTGGATTAAATTTAAACTATATTTTGAATAGGGCTGGATACACTGACTCATATCAACTTATTTCATGAACCAAGAGTTCACGCTACCATATATTATAAAATATTATGAATCAAGAGTTCACGCTACCATATATTGTAAATATGATAGACTGATAGTCACCATCTTTTTAACTTTGCTCAATTTTAATTGAGGGTGATCAAAATTATGACTATTACAAGTTGAATGAATCATTTGATTGCACTGAAAACATTAGTTATGATATTATTTGTTAGAGAGTATGAAAGTTAATAGAAGATCAAATTTGAGCAAGATGAACTAATACTAGAATATGCTTTTCACACATAAGTTTTGCCACGTGGATGATGGCCAAGTAAAGGCCCACTTTCCATATGCTCTGCTAGGGTTTCGCTTTTGGGGGTTTTGTGCCTCCGTCTCCCCACCTTCGGGGAGGGGAATCTTGCGCCGGAGATCGTCTCTGTTCAGGAAAGTTCTTTTTTCCTGCTGTTTTTCTTCTTTCTGGAGCTTTTGCGTGTGTTTTTCCGTTGGTTTTGCCGGTCTTTCCGGCTCTAAACAATTATATATAAATTGATGATATGTAGCTTTGTTACTTATAATATAGACCAAATTAAATCGATCACAATAACATTGCAGATTCCTATGATTTTAAAATAATCATTAAGAGTCTAGCGAAAGAACCTTTTCTTTAAAATACAAATGCATTCTTAACAGGTGGCTGCTGAACCGCGGCTCTCTCCTGGAATCCATGTGTTAGCTTAACAGCAAAACCACTAAAAAAATTAGAACGTTTCCTAAACAATAATTAAGTAATTTTTATAAAAAAAAAGGAGGGGAAACATAGGCGACAACGTGCTAAATTGTCATAAATCCTTCTAATTTAAGATCTAAAGTTATTTTATAAAAGTGCTTTATGATACCCGACACAGATATTAAAGCACTAAAGAAAATCGAATGGTTTGAATCGCAGTTCCTTGTTTCTCGTTGCTTCTTTATTATTATTATTATTATTATTATTATTTATTTTTCTTCTTATTGCGTCACTTTCAACGCTTCTAAAGAAAAGGGTACGTGCCGGTTGCGAATCACTTGCCATCTCGCTTTGCTTTTCTTTTTCGTTTTTTTTATGTAATTATTGAGATTATTTTTTTGAGGCCTGATGAGGGCCTTATGGCAATTGTTTCGTTTCCATTGGCCACCGCCTATAATGTAGTTTTGGACGAATTATTGGGTCAGGTCACCGAACATATTCGGAGCCTAATAAAAATGCACCACATTACCTCCTATTTGGTATGTGCTCGGTATTTTGCTCGGTACTCAATACTGAGCTCGGTACTAAGCTCGGTACTCGTACTTCACAGTACCGAGTACCGAATTCCGAATATAAGTTGTATCCGGTGACTTGACCCAATAATC